ATACATCATATTACACGGTTTGGTTCAAGTGGGTTATGAACTCCCAATTTTACCCCGTATACAGATTGCTGAATCACATCAGTTACCCTTCCATTGATTGACATATTGCCTTTCTAGTGCCATGACTTGAATTTCAAGGACTGTAGTACATTTTACTATTATTTATCCCCTGCCTCATCTCATGCAGGCTCTAGGCAACTTGTGGGCACACTGCCTTTTCATCTGGGCCACTTTGTCACCTGCTGCCTTTGACATCTTTCTTCCCTGGGCTTCCTTCCCTGGTGTGCGTGTTAAAGGAAGCTCCTGGGCAAGGTGGTGGGCTCTGGACAAGTCTTATTTCTTATAATCAAACAAAATTTCTTTTTAGTGCCAGGTATTCCAACTGATATACTGATTTTTTAAAAAGAAATATTTATGTTTTATTTATGATTTATTTATTAATGGTGCTAGCTGCAGCTGGGTGGGTTGGGTCCAGAGCCAACCAGAGGCCTGGGGCGTGGCCAAGGGATTGGGCGGGGTTATCAGCTTTTGCCAGCATGCCTGAAGCCCTGGGTTCAAGGCTTCATGCATGCTACGCAAACACTACCACTGAGCCACATCCCAGCCCCTGATATACTACATATTAACTCACTCAATTTTCACAACAGCCTAGTGAGGCGGGCGCTGTTAGGATCCATGTTTTCTAGGTGGGAAAACCAAGGCCCAGAGAGGTTAAATTTGCCCAAGGTTACAGCTAGTAAATGACATTCAGTTTTGAACCTAGACTCTCTGGCTGCTGAATCGAAGCTCTTACAGGGGCAAAGGGTAATTGCATTTCTTCCCTAACTCCCATGGTCCTAGATCAAAATGGACTCACAGATGACAAAGCAGGCACTGAATGAGATTGAGACGAGGCACAATGAGATCATCAAACTGGAAACCAGCATCCGCGAGCTGCACGACATGTTCGTGGACATGGCCATGCTTGTGGAAAGCCAGGTACTGGCTCTGCCATGCCACCCCAGGAACTGCCCTGGTCCCCAAGGTTCTGTTTCCCAGCCCAGCCCCCATTTCTCCCTGTGCACACTTCTTCTGTCTGCAGGGGGAGATGATTGACCGCATCGAGTACAACGTGGAACATTCCGTGGACTATGTGGAGCGAGCTGTGTCCGACACCAAGAAAGCTGTGAAATATCAGAGCAAGGCGCGGAGGGTGAGCCAGGGCAGGTGGCCTGATGGGGGCAGGGAGACCAGGAGCCTGGTGGGTGGGGCTGGGCTCAGGCCAAGGCTGAGCTGAGTGTTGAAATCGGGTGAGAGGCCTTATCTCTGGCTCTGACCTCTTCCTATTTCTGTTTTTTCTCCCCTTTTCCCTTTCACCCTCCTCCCCCGTCTTCTCCCCCATCTGTCTGTTGGTTTGTCTCCTTCTCTATCACTCTGTTTCTGTCTTTCACTCTTTCTCTCATCTTTCTACCTGCAGAAGAAAATCATGATCATCATTTGCTGTGTGGTGCTGGGGGTGGTCTTGGCGTCATCCATTGGGGGGACGCTGGGATTGTAGGCCCCTCACCCCTATCTCTCCCAGACCCTTCCCCCACCACATTGGGAGCAATACCCCCACCACCCCTTTCACTCCATCCCCTGCTCCGAGCTCACCCCCAGAACAGACCCAGGCAACCCCACTCCCTCCTCCACCCACGGCAGACCCTGGAGTTCCTGGGCCTCACCCTGCCATGGACCACCCCCTGCCCCCGCACGTAGATAGCAGCAGGCGTGATCACACATGCACACCAACATGCATGCCGCCGGCACATGCTCGAGACGTGTGGACACCCCAGCGTGTGTGAACATGTGTAGATGTGTAGATGCACCGAATCACCCCTCTTGCCCCCACCTTGAGTCTGTGTGTGGTCTGAGCTTCCCCTTCACCTGGGTTGTTGTGTAGACTGTTCCTGAGTACAACATAGCAGCCCACCACACCCTGGTTTGTCTTCAGTGAATAGGTGTGTGTGTGGGTATGTGTGTGGCCACAGATTTGTAGACACACAGTTTGTGTACATGGAATTTTGTGTTTGAGTGTTTGAACCTAATGCAACAGCAATTCCTCCACTGACACCTCCTCCCCCGTCTGCTACAAATGAGGCGGGTAGTGTGTGTGTGTGCAGATGTTCTAAATTCTCAAAGGATTCAGGGAGGCCCAGAGACACATGGGCCATGGCAGACACTCCACGTGATTGGAACAAACCCTCCTGGCTTAGATACCCCAGGGGCTGCTGTGTGCCCTAGGGAGGGTGTGTGTGTGTGTATGTGTGTGTGTGTGTGTGTGTGTGTGTGTGTGTTGTGGGCTTTGGAGATCCCAGAGGTGAATGGAAGTATATACTTGTAAATGAACTAGCTTGGCCTACATAGACACGCATTTTCCCCAATAGGTGATAGGAGGTACGTGTGTATGCGTGTGAGTACATCTGTCTTGTCTGAAGTATTGATAAGTTTTCTTAGAGCCCTCCACATCATGGACTGGACACCTTTTTGGGTGGGTACAGATATCTATATTTCTATGCTACCTGGAATACAGTGTGTGAGGGTGTGTGTGTGTGTGTGTGTGTGTGTGTGTGTGTGTGTGCGCGCGTGCGTGCATGTCTGTTTAGGGGCTTTCTACATAGTGTGTTTCTGTCCCCTGTGTACACACACATACACTTGTTCGTTTTTAAGGACATGTGCCCTATTCTGGTTTGTTTATCCAGATTTATTTGTCCCCCTCCCTCTCTGCAGAGCTGTTGACCAATGTGGCTGCACACACTGCTATATCCACATTGCCCTGCCCAACCTCAGGGCCCCTGTGCACACATACCCAGATCCTTATCTTTCTCTGTGTCTCTGCCCAGGGACAGGCCTGAATCTGTGACAGCTCAATGTACTCACACATATCAAGGCTGAGGAGGTCCCAGGAAGGTAGCCACACCCAGGCACAACATGTATACTGGGGCACCCATGCATGCTAATGTTGGCATGGTGTCCCTTCAGGTCTGTACATTTTTACACAAATGCCTCCCAGAAAGACATTTGTAGGGATGTTACTGATGAGGTGAGATGTCAAGAGCTTCCCTCAGTCAGATGGAAAATCAGGGCATTGACCCTTCCTGCCTCTTCCACACTCCCCTTGAACCTGGGAGAAGCATTTGTCCTCACTATCCTATCCTATGCTCCAGGCTCTTCCTCAGGAAACTTGGGTTTGGGCAACTGTTGATTTCAGATTTACTGGAGTGGCCAGTGTGGCTTAAGTCCTGGGCCCCATCCCCACCTCTCCTGCTGAAATATCATCAATGGCCATTCCCTACACCAGGGGTGAGATTGAGGGATGTAGACTTGGTTTTCTGATGGTGAGGAAAGGGTTAATTTCTTCTTTTTGGTGTAGACAGCATATGCATAGTTGGTGGGTTTTGTATTTGGTGATAGTAGAGGGTAGATGGGGGAAAGGACAGTGTTGGAAACCCACCCCCTCCCAATGGCCCAGGAACAAATAGGCTGAACATACAAAGTACATGAATCTAATACCTGTGTACTAGCTGAAGGACTCTGGTTTATGCGTGTAGACTGCAGGTTACCACATCATGCAAAGTGTGTATGTTTGCGTGTTTGTATGCGAGCCCATGCAAATGTGACCTCCCAGAACACATCCTTCTCAGCCCCCCACAACTCAGACAGCCAACCTCTTCCCTACCTCACTGTTTAGGTTCTGCCCATCCTGGGTGTGTCTGTGTCAATATGGCCACATGTATGTAAACCCCAGATCAGCTGTCCTGAGGAAGGGAGCTTGCTTGTCCATTCCCAGAATGCCCTTCTACAGGACAGGAAGTCTGCCTGGAGTCTGACTGCAGCCCTCCTGCTCCCATCCCAGGCTTCTATAGAGATGTCAGAGCTGATCCCAACATCCAGCCCCCTTCTTCCTTCCTGCTTCCCAGCCAGGACCCCCTTTCAGCCCAGGTGTTTCCAGAAACCCCAAAGCTTTGAAGTTCACCAGAAGGGTGGAGCAGAGGCTGGAGTGCTGCCCCTGCCTCTTTGAATAGCATTAGGCTCACAGCTGCCCATCTCTGGGCCTTAGGTGGACCAGGGGATCCCTGAGGTTCTGCTGTGCCCTAGCTTTCTAAAAGTCCCACACATTATATGATAGGTTTGCTTGTTGGCTGCTGTCTATGTGTGTCCGAGTGTTGTCTAGGGGTTGGAATTTTTTGCATGTTCTCAGACAAGTGTGTGCTGCCCACACTCCATGCATCTACAACCATCAAGCCATGTGCCCCGTGGGTGGTCCCAGGCCTGGCCAGGGCTCAGTGCTTTCCCTCCCTTATTCCCCATCCCGGCCTCTCATGAAGCACACTGCGTGTCCATCCCATGTGCCCGTGGGTCGTCGCACGCTCATGCCACGCCTTGAGCGTGTACACATGATGTGTTCTATGCATTTACCCTGCCCCCCCAGCCCGCCCAGCAGAGGACAAGATGGGTGGCCCCCGGCTCCCTTCTCTCCCACCTGCCCCCTGCCCGCTGTGCAGCTGTGTGCGTTGGCGTGTGTTTCTGTGTCGCTGGCGTGTCACGTGATGTAGCTGTGTTTGCTGACATGAGCCCCTGCCCCCTTCTCTGTTTCTCCGTTGGTTTCTAGAGCTCTCTCCCTTCCCTCTCTAGAGGGGACAGGACTCTTGGGGCCTGGCTGGGGGCCCAGAGCCAGGCTACCCTCTCCTGTTAGCCCTCAGTCTCATTTCTCTCTATTGGTGACCAAGTTGCAAATGGATAAAATACAAGAAATTCTACCCCCCAGCCCTGCATGTCCTGTCCCCAGAGCCCCCCAACCCCCCTCCCGGGCCGGGCCGGGCCCCGTGGGACGGGAGAAATAGCAACCAATCCAACAGCGGGCGTGCTGTGTGCTCACTTCCTTCTGTCCCCATATGGGACTGGCGCCGTGGGGAGGGGAAACTTGTTGGGGTAGTGGGTGGCAGAGTTGCTGGACAGACTAATGACACAGGCTTGGAAAAGGATTTTAATACAGGGCTTGGCAAGGTACAGCATTACTGAGACATCCTCAGGCAAAGAGCTAATAATATTGCAGGATCTCAATTTGGGAGGAGGGATAAGAAGTGAAAAAACACTGATTTTCTCAGCTTTCATTGAGGGGAATTAAGAAAATGTCTAAAGGTGATATATCATTTTAAATAATGGGAAGATAATGCCCTGAGGACAGAGGTGGAGGGAGAAACCAGAGAAGTCTCTTCAACCTGAACCTAGTCCAGAGGCACTTGGGTATCAGTCTTTAGAACCTTGGCCACTTCATGCTTGAGAATCAGAAGTGGGATGGCATAGTGAGAACATCTGGAAATCAGTTTTTTGCTAAACATCCAGCAGGCCTGGGTTGAGAGTGAAGAAAACCCTGCCCTGGAACTTGGAACCAAGTATAAGAACACAACCCAGACTCAAGAGTTTGTGGCCATAAAATGTGGAGGGCTCTGGGACAGCTAGATGGCACCAGAGCTGAAAGCTCTGAAATCCAGCCATTCCATCCCATCCAGGGTGTGAGGGCTCGAGACCTGGGTAGATATGCCATGATGGCCCCAGGCCCCAGCCCCACCATCACTGGGCTGTACCTTCCATGGCCTGCACCCAGAGAATGGTGCGGGTTCTGCTGTCCTCCCATGAGAACAGGGGCTCATAGCCAAAATGGCGCTGTGCCTTGTTGGTGCTGACAGTGAAGGTAGTGTTGGCCACAGCCAGTGTGTAGGGGTTCAGCAGGGGTGCATAGAGTAGCAGTGGGCGCAGCAACCACTGCAGCAGGGCATTGAGGGCAGCTAGAAGCACTAGCAGCCAGTAGGGCAGCAGTGGGCGGGTGCCCACCAGACGCAATCCGCAGGGGCCCAGGAACTCCATGTTGAAGTCTTCATAGCTCTTATAGGGTGACTTGTCATAGCAGAAGTACACTTGGCCGCCTATGAGTGCTGCCCGCTGCTCCAGTTCCCGGGCCACCAGCACATGCATCCAGGCCACATTGCCTGCCAGTGAGGGGAAGTGGCTATGCCTCCAAGGGCTCTTGCAATCACGTAAGATGCTGCTTTTCTGGACCAGCTTATGCACAAGCCACCCCTTATTTGGACCCATTTAGATGCTGCCCATATCTCTACCACAGCCTGGGAATGGCTGCTTTTTCCCCAGATCCTGAGGCCACTGCTCTCTTGAGTTGGTCTGTATACATGCTACCCCTCTCTTTCCTGGGGAACTGCTGCTTCCATGCCTGCAATTTTCTCAGCCTATAGCTTTTTATGTCAGCATTCCCTAATAGCAGGGATACTGTTTCCTTTGCGGTCCATGCAGACAATGCCTACATAATCATCATCTACCTGCACCTGTGAACAGACCATCCTTTTCCAGTCAGAGCACAGACTGCCCCTCCCAGAACCACATGGGTCCCACCCACTTTCAAAGCAGGTTCTCCTGCCCTGTTCTTGGTCTCCCCCTGCTTAGCCCCGTCCTTACCCACATAGACCCGACCATGCTCCACAGAGGCTGGGATGGCCCGGAAGAGCCGACCCCCAAGGCGCAGACCCTGGCGGTAGAAATCCCTCATGATCTGATGGCCTTCACCATAGATACCGGTGGGACGCAGGGCACAAGTCACCAGAGGCAGCCCCCCTCGGACCTGATGGCAAAAGCCAAATGACAAACACTGTTAGGACCTGGAACCTAGCAGCTTCCCCTTTGTACTAGCCTCCTCAGGCTAGAGATAAGAGGCCCACAGGGCAGAATGCAAAGCAGCCTGCAAGTCAGGCTGTGCTGGCCTGGCTGCACCCCCAACGCACATCTCTGTCTCTTGGCTTACCTTCCTTCCATTGGCCTCCAGGACCAGGCGCTCAGCTAGGGCTTTGCTGCAAGGATAGGGATGCTTGTGTACTGCCTCATATGGGGTGTCCTCATTGCCCCTAGTGAGGGTAAAAGGGAAGACTCAATGCTTAAGGAAGTGGACTCTTTAAGTAATGGGGGATCTTAGCTCACCTATAAAAGGGGTGTCCTTTGATGTTAGGTCCCACAACTTCCATGCTGCTTGTGTACACCAGGAACTGAGTTCCAGTCTGTACACAAGCCTCGATCACATTCTGTGTGCCTGGGGAGGAAGAAGAAGGATCCAAGCTGAGGCTTCCTTCCTCTCTGCATCTTTCCCCTGCCCACCCCAGGTCCAGGGAGAACCAGAACAGGTGGAGTGATGATGGACAGGGTGAACAATGATCACACAGGGGCAGGGCTTTCAATAGTACAGGTTGTCACATGAGAATCAAAGGAGGTCAAGGTCAAATGGGGTGGGGGAACAGAGAGGTAAGATCAAGCCATGTGCCAGGGAATGTCCTATGCAAGATTAGAGTAGGTGGGGAGCACCTCACCCCGCACGTTGACCTTGTGGATGGTCTCTGGACTGGCCCTTCCAAATACATCCACCAGCCCAGCTGTATGGATGACCACATGGGCTCCAGCCACAGCTGCTGCCACCTCCTGGGCCTGCGTCACATCCCCCTGGATGGCAGTCACCTGCACGGGCCCTGGTGGAAAAGCCGGGGAGGCCAGAGGCAATGTCAGATTCGAGGTCATCAGCCAGCTGCTTGGTTAAGCCTACACCCTTGGGAGCCACATGTTCCAAGTGACTCATTCATCCCATCCGTGTGGACCAAACAGCATAGCAGGCATCATCTTTTCCACCAAGCAGGGGAGTATCCTGGTTTGGGAGGGAATGGGGGAGACCATCCCCTCTTCAAGACAACCTCCCCTTGTAGTCACCTGTCTTCAGCTCTTCTATCCAGGGACTCAGGTGCAGGTCAAAGATCCGCAGCTCCCGGAGCCTCGGCTCCCGCTCCAGCAGCATTCGCACCACATGCTCCCCCAGGAAGCCACAGCCACCTGTGACCAGGTACACCAGCTTCGGGGCCTGTGCAGATTCTGCCATGCCCAGCTGTGGGGAGAAACCTTGGCTCATCTGAGTTGCCTGTGCTACCTGCCCCAGTTACTCATTACTCTTAGAAGGGGCCTGGCACCCTAGTGAACCAGAGCTCCATGACAGAGGGTGGGGAGGCAGAGCTGCTCCTGGAGGCTGCAGTGGTGGGGGCAGCAGCCAGGCTACCTGCCCTCTGATCCTGTTAACTGCTGAGTTACTAAAAGAGTAAGGGATTGAGGTGGATGGGGAGAGGTTTGGGGACAAAAAAGAAGGATGGGGAGACAGGGCATTGTGGGAAGGGGAGGAAAGGAGAAAGTATAGGAAGGTGGGAAAGGCCAGGACCAAGGGAAGGGCTCAAACCAGGGAAAGGCTGACTGAACCCTGGTATCACCTCTGCCTACCTGCAGCCACTGTCCCAGGGCGCCCAAACTGGCCACGGGGGAGGCGGTCTCCTGGGCTGGCTGGCCAGCCACACACCGTCTTCCTTCCGCTCGCTTCTCCTCCCTCCTGGCCTATTCCAGGAACGGAGGCTAGCCCAGCCTCCAACTCCTCTGTCCCTCACTCTCTTGCCACAGGGTGCCACCTGGTGGTCACTCAGCACTCCACCGGCATCTGGTTACAGCGAAGTACTTGGGGAGAGAGGATGGACAAGCCAGAACCTGCTGGGTGGGTGCTGAGGGATTTGGGGGCCCATAGGATCAAAGCAGCAGGATGACCTCATTCCCACTGCATGACCTCAGTCCTTCCCTCCTGCTGGATCTCCCAGGAGCCCAGAGGCCCAGCAACAGCTGTGGTTCTGGGAAGGAAAGGGAGGCCTGACCTTGGCCCAACTCTGGCTGGCCTCAGTGGGGGATTCCTGGCATGGCTGTATCAGCCTGTCAGGTGATCCAAAGCAATGGCAGCTGCGTCTGCAGGTCTGGGCTCTTGCCTGAAAGCCCTCTACCCACCCCAAACTTCAGACCACCCTTTCCCTCTCTTCATCTTGCCCCATCCATGTCTCCTCAACCCCCATCCCAGCCTGCTCTCCCCCAAAGATACTGACCAAGCACTTTTGTACAATAAAGTTTAATCACAATTATAAAAATGTGGCCTTGGGTTTKCGCTATTAACATATATACAATCCAGCCCAACAAGAAGGGCCCACCCCCACCATCCTGGCCTGGCTGAGCCAAAGCCTCCAGACACCAGGGTGGGAGGGTGACCCAAAGGGTCTGGCAGGAACAGAAGATGAGGCAGGGTTCCAGGCACGGAGTCCCCAGGACTGGGGGCGCAGGGCCCCCCCAGGGGGAGAACATGGCCACTGCCCCTAGAGACCCCTGAACTGGGGAGGGGTGCACACAGGGCACAAGGGGAAATCCCCATTAACACAAAGCAAGAGGGCTGTGCAACCCCCCAAGAACAGGATCTGTACAAGCCGGCACCCCAGGTTTCCACAGGAAACAGCTGCTGGCAGCTACAAAACATTTACAGCTTCTTCTCCGCAAAGAAAAAAATTAAGAGGTGGGTGGGCAGGGGTAACAGGGGAGGCAGAAGCTGCCTCGTCAAGGGACTGAGGCTCCCTCGCTGGGCTTGGAGCTCCCAACCCCACACTTGGAGATGGGGGCATGTGGGCCCTGCTGAACCCACTAAGGCTGGGGGGGTGCTGGGAGCTCAGGGCACCAAGGGGGAATAAATAGGGGTGTGGGCACCAGTCCTGCCCCACCTCAGTTGAGGGAGCCACGGCAGCTCTCAGTGCCGCATAGACACGGGATCTTGTTGTCCTCCAGCGGGAACTTATAGTCATAGGTGATCTCCTCATCCACGCCAATGGGCTGCTTGGAGTAAATCACGATCTTCTTCTGTGACTCAATGGTGATCACCTTGGCATAGCAGTTGGGCTACAGGGGGGGAGGGCAGTGTGAGTTGTGCCCCCCTCCACATCCCTCCCATCCCTCCGCCTAGCTCCCAGCGCACCGTGCAGCAGTGGTTGATGAACCTCGCCAGGTTGCCACACTTGGTAGCATCAATGATGGTGTCGTGGTCCACCCGGAACAGGTAGCTGCTGCCGATACCCTCCTGTACATAGCGCTTCTCCCGCATGTCAGCCACCATCTGGCAATATAGGACAGAAAAGGTCATAGCATGGCCTCTCAGCTTCCAGATGGACCAGGTCTGGTCCCACCAGCCCCTCTGGATAATCTGCCAGCTATCACTCCAGTGTCCATACCAACTAGGCCTAGATCTCAACCCCCAACTTGACTGCTTCTAGAAACCCAGCCTGCCTCTTTGGCCATCCATCCTAATCCTCTGTCTTTTTGACTAAGTCACCAACAAGAGGACTCCAGAGAAATCTGCACTGGCAGTGGCCACTTCATCTCTTCTCCTAGGACCCTCTCTCCAAAACAGGCACCTGTTGGCCTAGATGACCAATGCAAATGGCAGGTCACCTGTAAGGACCCATGTCTTGTATGAGAAGCAGCAACTCTTATATCCCAGTAAACGGGACAATGAGCTGTCTGCACTTTCTCCTTGGGTGATCTCACTCCCTCCCAGAGCTTCTGCTGTCAGCTAAATAGTGGGGACTCCTCCCAAACTCCTATCTCCAGCCAAAATCCACCTCAGTAGAATTCCTGGGCGTCATCTTTAGATTTCCCTGGGGCCCTGCAACATCATATGTCCTGATTGGAACTCATCCTGATCACACATCTGCTCCTCCGGCTCACTCCCATTACACTGGGGCCCCATCAGAGTCATAACAGCTAATGGTAGCACCCCAAGAAAGAGCCTCACCTCCTCCTTTGTCCTCACTCTCCACAGTCAGCTCACTGCCTGGTCTCCAGTCCAGGCCACCTTCACCTTGGCTTGATCTATGACAGCACCACTGGTGTCAGCCTAGACTAGTTCTCTCTTCCCAGCACAACTAGAGGGAGCTTACTACCCTCCAAGGACCTCTTCTGCTTAGCTTTTCAGAGACTCCCTCTCACTAGAGGCCCATACTTACTAATATTGCTCCCCAGCTACGGAAAATCTGGGCTCCACATGCCCCTCCCCTCCAAACTCTCATCTGCCACTGGCCCTAGTTTTTCTGACTAGCCACTCTGATCTCCCACTCCTAAGACTACCCTACCTCCAGGCTTTCATACACTTCTCACCTGGACCTGGGAGTTCCTCCTTGTCTTTAGGCTCCCAACTTAAACACACTATCTCTTGATGGTCTTAGACCCTGTTGTATGTGCTCACACTGCTCCTGTCTCCCTAAACTTTCCCTTTAATATCAAACACTATCCTTTAGTGTCATCAATTGTCCAATATTCCCCACTTCCTTTTTTTGTTTTGGTAATGGGAATTAAACCCAGAGGTACTTTACCACTGAGCTACATCCTCAACCTTTTTAAAAAGTTTTTGAGATAGGGTCTCACTAAGTTGCTTAAGTTGACGAGGTTGGCCTCAAACTTGTGATCCTCCTGCCTTAGCCTCCAGAGTTGCTGGGATTACAGGCACATGCCACTGTGCCCGGCACCCCACTTCCTTAAAGGGAAAGACACTACTAGTCCTGTTTCCTGCTGGACCACTAATATTGTTTACTATTGCATATTACTAATGAAGGATGAAGGACACAGGTTTTCACTGGCTAACTCTTGGAGCTGGGAGGGTAAGTAAGGCTTTGCCCAGAGGGTCAAATGGAACTCCTGGGAAATTCTGTGCTGTCTGTCTGGTATGTCAGATCAGAAGCTGAGCCTGGTGCTGGATGTGGAGCCTCACCTGGCGGATGTTCTGACCCACGTATTCAATGACCATCTCATCAGCTGCAATGGGTTCCATGGCAAACAGACCCCACTCATGGATCCGGCTCCGGCCAAATCGAAGCTTCTTCTTTCGGAACTAGGGGGCAGAAGATAGATTCTACTGCTGCATGCCTCTCAAGACCAAGCTCCTCACCTTTCCTGCAGACCTCCCAGAATGGAGAATATCTCATTCCCCTCACAACCCAAACACAGGATCCTACCAGGGTAGCTCACTTTGCTTTTCACTGAGCCTCTTCCCTTCCCAGGTCCCCATTCCTCACCTTGAGCTGGTTTAACTTTAGCAGATCACTATCCATGATGGCTGAGGTGCCAATGGCACTTAGCAACCGCCGCTGCTCAGACCGGCGCTCCGAAAGCACACGGTTAGTCCCCTGCAAGGAGGACAGAAGGAAGTAAGCAATGGGAAGATGGTGAGAGGAGAGAGTAGGCCAGAAGGCAGGGCCCCACCTGAGTATCCACTCCTTCCAGCTGCCGGGCTGAGACGGGGCACACATCCAGGTATTTGTCCTTCTCCTTCTTGCTGATGGGGTAATAACCTTCACTGCGTGCCGAGCCTGTCTGGTGCTCTCGGGGCCCATCCTGGGGCCGGCGCTTGCGCTTTGGAGTGCTCAGGTTGGTGAGTGCAGGGTGTTAAGGAAGAGAATGGGTCCCTCATTGGCCAGATCCCTGGAGCCTGCTCCTCTCCATCCACCCCAGTCCCAGCCCAAGGAAAGGGCAGCCGGTCTGAGCTGATGGGCATATTAGGTGTGAAGGGACAGCAGATGACAGAAGTCAGTCTTGGACTCCACCTTTTCTGCCAGAAAAACTTTGGGAGGCAGAAAAGAAGTATGAAGCAGAGAGAAAAGATGGCTGGGCAGCCAGAGGAGAAACCCCCAGGCTGAACATGGCAGAGTGAATTGAACAGACAGGGAGGGAAATCAATGTAGCACAAGGAGTGACCTGAAGAAGACACTGCCTGGGGCTGTGACCCCAGGGAAGGCCCCCCCCCACCCCAGGCCTGTGTCTTCCTATCTTGCATAGACAGGCCGAACCCTATGGCTCAGGATATTTGTGTGATGGACCCAGTGGGTGTCGTTAAGCCAGTCAGCTCCGCTGGTCTGTTGCAGTAGCCGCTCATATGTGAGCCGCAGGTAGCTCATGTCTTCTAAGTCTAGGCCCGAGTTCCAAATGTCATACAGGATGGTCATCTGCTCAAACTCGCTGCGGGGCTCAAAGGAGGGGGGTGGTGGAGGTGGGGGTGGGAGCGCTGGTCTCCGGCGCCGGGTGTGAGAGCGGAGGCTGCGCCGTCGGACAGCCCCCTCACCATCACTGCTACTGCTGCTGCTGCTGCTCTCTGAGGACTCGGATTCCTCCTCTTCTTCCTCCTCCTCCTCCTCCCCATCCTCTGGCTGCTGTTGCAGTTGCTGCTGCTTTGGCTCCTCTGCCTCAGCCACTACCACCTCAGGGGCCTCTAGGACCTCATCCACTGGGGAACTGAAGAGAGCTGCAGGGGCAGGAACTGGCTCCGGAGGCCGGGGGGCCGGTGTGGAAGGTGTGGGCTTGATGGCCAGGGCATAGTTGTGCTCCAGAAGGATGTGGCTGAGCAGGGGACTGGGGCGGTCTGCCTCATCTGAGGTTTCTGTGGCCTCTGAATCGTCGCCAGTAGGCAGGGTGGCCAGCCCGCGCCGGGCTGGGGTCAAGGCCAGGTCAGCTAGTACTGCCAGGTCCACTTCTGTCCCTGGCTCACCCTCTTCTTCCTCAGTGGAGCGACCTCGGCCTCCAGCCCGGCTCCGACC